CAACTTGCACACGGGCCCTCCGAGATTTTTCGCCCTTGTCCGAAAAGGCTAGGTGTAGATCTTTCCTACCCGAAGATCAGGGGTGTGGCTGAAAAACAGCAGTAAGATGAAGCGAAAGAAAAGCAGTAGAAAGGCTGCAGAAAGAATCAGGAGCCCAGAGGAAGGGGCAAAGGAGGGGCAAAAAGAGGAGACGAATGCAGACAACAGAACATGGCTAGAGAGCAGGAAATGAGGTGAAAGGAGACAAATTTCGAGAAGAAAATTTTTCGGTCACTACCCGGATTCGAACCCGGGACCTTTTGAATGAGAGGCCAACACCTTAACCTCTAGGCCACGAGAGCCCCCTCTGATTCTTTCTACAGCCTTTCTACTGCTACTCCTTGGCTTCTTCTTACTGCTGTCTTTCTGCCACACCCCTGATCTTCTGGTAGGAAAGAACAACACTTAGCCTTCTCGGACAAGGGCGAAAAATCTCGGAGGGCCCCTGTGCAAGTTGCGCACGTTAAAGATCCCTTGATGGTCTAAAATCGATAAGAGTAGGCTTCGGCCGCCACCGGTGCAAAATTCAAAATTTCCTACCAACTGAAAAAGTTTAATGTGTCCCACGCGCCCATATGACTTTATGCAGTTACGAGCACCGTAAAACACTTACAAAAACAAACAAAAGAAAAAGTAGGTTCTATGTCAAATTTCAATACCCATATATATATTTCAGCTCCGACCCTTTGGCTTCCCTTGTTTATTCTACAATTAATATTATAGTGAAACAATTACCCTTGAGAGACAGTGATGCCAGCAGAGAGATATAAAAAAGGTTTGCTAAAAAAAAAAAAAAGTCTGTTTTTTGAGTGCACATGTCAGAGTGGTGTAGTTTGTTTTCGGTACAAGTGAGAACCACAGGCTTTAGAGTGAATTTTTCCAAAGCAAAACTGCCATTAATTTGATCACGTATTGAAATTAAGACACAGCCCCAGTCACAAGTTACAACACTGACAAGGTGAAGGGAAAGAAGGGAAAGAAAGACTGTGAATGGGCCAACTCTAACTTAGAAGACGATCTAACATTTTGAACAGATGAGAGGAGCAACGTATGTTACGTATGTCATCTAGCCAGCCAGCCAGCCTCAAGAGCCGATAACACCTAGCACTCAGGCTATAAAGGAAGAGGAAGGCCATGCAAAAGGTGGATTGAGAATATCAAGGAAACCCAGTGTAATTATAATATCCCAACTGAAAGAGCTGCCGAGCTGGCCTACCATAAAAAAAACCAACTACATCTCCCCTCGACGCTTAACGGCAACAGAGGATGAAAAAGTAAAAGTAAAAGTAGAGAGGAGAAACTGATTTTGCCCATCAAAAACCACACAACGGTTTTTAATCACAGTGAAAACAGTTCATAACAAAGAGTGAGCTTTAGAAGAAGTCACATTTTCACTGTAAAAAAAAAGAGATACTTAGGCCAAGAAAGCACTGAGGTCTCGATTTGTAATGCAGGGACCTTACCTCATCATTTCCTTCTCGCCATGAGTACAAACAGGTGAACAAAAACATCTTGAAGTGTTTCGCCTGTTCATCTACCATCACCACCTGGCCATGCTCCAGGTCTTGGCCATCATTTACCTGTAGGCAACCGCAAACATTGAAAGAACAGTAGGAGCTAAATAACATTCATCAGGTTCACGCCAATGGGATTTTTTTTTTAACAGGTAAAATTTCGTAGCTTTTAAACATTCTATGTATCACAACACAGTGGAATCAGGCCCTTGGTCAATTTTCGAGAGTATGAAGTTTTTGGTATTATCTTAAAGCTTGTTCATTTGTCTTGCTTTCAATGAAAAAATTACCTGTCTATCTTCAGTAGAAGTCAATTCATATATTTGCGATTTAAGGACGTGGAGATCACATGGTTTCAAAGGTAAATTAGCGACAAAATGGCCGCCAAAGTTTGATGACTTCCAAAGCTTTAGAGTCCTTGGAAACTGTATATTTGGGGGCTCTCGTGGCCTAGAGGTTAAGGTGTTCACCTCTTATTCAAAGGTCCTGAGTTCGAATCCGGGTAGTGGTGTAAAAATTTTCCTCTCTAAAATTGTCTCCTTTCACCTTCTTTCATTCTCTCTTGCAATATTCTGTTGTCTGCTTTCGTCTCCACTTTCTTCCCCCACCCCCTCACCTACTTCGCCTCCTCCACTGGGTTCCTGGCTCTTTCACTTTCAGCAGCCTTTCTACTGCTACTCCTTGGCTCCTTCTTACTGCTGTCTTTCAGCCACACCCCTGATCTTCGGGTAGGAAAGATCTACACCTAACCTTCTCGGACAAGGGCGAAAAATCTCAGAGGTCCCGTGTGTAAGTTGCGCATGTTAAAGATCCCTTGGTGGTCCAAAATTGATAAGAGTAGGCTTCGACCGCCACCCGGGCAAAATTCAAAATTTCCTACCCATTTAAAAAGTTTGGTGTGTCCCGCGCGCTCATGACTTTAAGCAGTTGCGAGCGCCGTACAACACTTACCAACACCCCCCCCCCCCCAAAAAAAAAAAACCCCACAAAAAAACTTTATATTTTTACATTTCCTGTACTATCCACAGGAGTTTTGTCGACAAGATCCTTGTTGCTTGAAACAAGGAAAAAAAGGGGGATCATACACAATACACGGATATAAGACTTTCACAATGTCGATATGCTGGTCTTTTAATTATTGCATGTATATATTTTCACAAGTTACTCTAAAAAAAAAAAAGGAAAAAAAAAGTAAGTCTTCTTAATAATGATAATAATGGATTGCATTTATATAGCGCATATCCACTTATGCAATGCTCTATGCGCTTAACATGATACATATTAAGGATTTACAAATCAAATTTAAAGGCACATAGTGCTACATACGCGTGCACACATATATTCACGCACACACGCACCACACACACATACACACACACATACGTACATACACACATACACACATACAAACAACGATCTAAAGCTAGGATGGATTCTGTCTAATCGAAATATGATGAAAATAGAAATGCTTTTAGTTTCTTCTAAAAAATTTCTAGATTTTCTTAGGAAGTCAGACCAACGCTGTGTGACTTCACTGGTTTATATTTGCTTCGCTAGACCCACAGTTGACAGATTAACAAAAAACAGACAGCTAAACAATTACCTACTAACCAATTACCAATTGTTGTAACCATCTCCAGTTGGGGCTTCAGTAACACTTAAATGTGTAAGTTACCAACAAATGTTATGAGAGTGAAGTAACATATTTATTTATTTATTTGTTTATTTTTTTTGTTTATTTATTTATTTATTTATTTATTTATTTATTTATTTATTTATTTATTTATTTATTTATTTATTTATTTATTTATTTATTTATATTTATTTATTTATTTATATATATTTATTTGTTTGTTTATTCATTTTAAATTCATTTATTCATATATTCATTTATTTATATTCAAACATTTCCTTGTGTGTTTACTCTAAGACTTAACAGCTAATTTCAAAATCCAAAATGCTGCACACTTTGTTGTTACTGCTAAACACAAAAGCGCCAGGGGATAGAGAATTGGGCACGATAAAAAAGCAACCAAAAAAACAACAACAAACAAACTAAAAAAAAGTCCACAAAGCTGGATAGAAGACAAAGTAGCCTACTATAATAATATAAAGCAAAAAAAACCCGCCCCTATGTCAAATAGGTGGTGATGTACCAGTGGCACACACACCCCCCCCCCCCCCCCCCCCTATCTCACAAATGTTGACATATCAATCAGTGGTCAGTGGCACCCCCTACCCTCACCCACACAGAGTTTGTGATTATGAGTGGCACCCACTACCTCCACCAACACAGTGTTTATAATTGGTCACTTTTAAGAACAAGATAAGATAAGATTAGATAAGATAGTACTTTATTATCCCTGAGGGAAATTTTCCTTGGCTGTACAGGACCGTAAAAACACATGCAGGTATACATTAAAACAAAAAAACAAAATTAAATTTTAATCATATATATTACTCTCATTAAAATTCAGGAGAAGTAAAGCTGACAAAATGTACATTTACATCAAATGCATCATTCAACCACATGCAGGAATTTAAATACTAGGCCTTTGGAGTTATAAACAGATACATACTCTAAGAGTAACACACATCTATGCTCATTCTGACAAAAGCCTTAGGCTAGATGGTAATAAACTTCTTTTATATCTTTCTTTCTTTGTTTTTGGAGGTACATATCTGCCGCTGCGTGATCTTACAATTTGTGAGGAAAACAAGGGGGCTATCCCAAAAAATGCTGTTTTGAGAAAATTGAAGGTAATATTTTTGGCCCCTAGTCCAGTTTCTTTAAAAGACAAGGAGAGTTTTCTCTTTAACCAAACAAATATACACACTAATGAAGCCGAACTTCTCCTAAAGGTAGAGCAATGCCCACTCTTGGTTTAGGTCAAGATTTCTGGAAACCCCCGAAATCTGGGGTAGCCCGCTTGTCTTTAAAAGTGACCAATTATCAGTGGCACACACAACGTCCACCCACATAGCGTAAATAATTATCAGTGGAACCCACTACCCTTTCCAACACAATGTTTACAATTATCAGTGGCACCCACTACCCTGACCAACACAGTGTTTATCTGTGGCACCCCCAACCCCCAACACACAAAGATTGTAATTAAGAGAGGCACCCACTACCTCCAATACACATAGATTGTAATTAAGAGAGGCACCCCCAACCCCCAACACACAAAGATTGTAATTAAGAGAGGCACCCACTACCTCCAATACACATAGATTGTAATTAAGAGAGGCACCCCCAACCCCCAACACACAAAGATTGTAATTAAGAGAGGT